TGTGCATTTGAGTTCTTGCATGTCTGTCACATGAATGGCCAGAGGACTCACATTTGCCTCTGATCCTGAACTATAAGAAAAGCCCACTAGTGGCAGAAATGTGCTGTAGTAAATTGTTTCCCTACATCCAATTCTGGTTCCACATCAGCTCCTAATTCACTCTCCACATTGCAGCCAGAATGGCCCTTTAAAGGTGAAGCTGCCAGCCCTGACCGGTTTGGCTCAGTGGATAGAGCATTGGCCTGTGGACTCAAGGGTCCCAGGTTCAATTCCGGTCAGGGGCATGTACCTTGGTTGCGGGCACATCCCCAGTAGGGGGTGTGCAGGAGGCAGCTGATTGATGTTTCTCTCTCATTGATGTTTCTAGCTCTCTATCCTTCTCCCTTCCTCTCTGTAAAAAATCAATAAAATATATTTAAAAAAAAATAAAGGCGAAGCTGCCATATGATTCCCCTACTCCTTGGAGCCTTTCCAGGGTTTAGTCTAAAGTCCTAATCATGGTATTCAAAGCACTGCATAGGCTGGTTTTCTTCCTTCTCTCATAACTCTCTTACAGTTCTCCCCGCTGACTCTAAATTCCAGCTCACTTTGACTTCTTTTACTTCTTTATACATACCAAGGTCCTCACCTCAGGGCTTTGCATATACTGTACCCTCTGCAAGTAAGTCCATCTGTTCCCTGCTCCCTCCTTTGGTTTAGACTAACAGGTACTCCCTTCCTGTCCTACGTGTCTTCTTGGCATCTCTGTACACCTCCATAGCATTTGTCAGTTAAAATTTTCTAATCCCTTGTCTGGCTATGCTCTTCCCCCCACCCCCAGTTCTAATGAGCAGGGACTGTGTCTTCTGTGTATTAGCACAATGCCTGGTGCTCACATGTTTGTGGGAGGGAGGGAAGGAGGGAGGGAATCAGTGGAGGAGGCAAGAAAGTGGATCATTTTGCTTGGGACATACTTAGAATGTAATTTTCAAAGTGTGTACAGCTTTTGATGCCTTTTAATTGATGGATTCAAGAGTAGAACTAGAACAAAACTTGGGGAGCTGTAGCGTAAGCTCTATTTCTGGATGCAAATGAAAATTCAAGGTACATAACACAGACTTGGTCCTTCAGTTCATATGAGGCTGCAGTTCACAGCTTACTAAGCATTAACTAGATAGTGATAATAGGCTTGAGTTCCTGGTTTAGTGGGGGAGAGATGTGACCCTGTTACCCAGTGGTTACACTGCAGTGTGATAAATGCTGTTCAGAGTATGTTGGGATGCAACCCTAATGCCTGGTGGTATCAGAGAAGGGATCTTGGGCTGGAAAGATCACGGAAAATCTACTGGGGGAGAAGGCAGAGGTGTGAAAGGACATGGTGTGTTTGGGAAACAGAGCTGTTGGGACACATGCAGACTGTATGGGGTGGCAGAGCTGAGGCTTTTCTGTTGGAGGGCCCCAGGAGGGTGTTCAGGAAGGAGTGTGCCACCTATGGATCTGAGAAAGCCTGCTGTGGCAGTGGGGAGAGTGACTTGGAGTGAGAATCGGGAAGCAGAGGCCCGTTCAGTATATTATGTATGCAGTTCTTATTGAAACTCTTGTCTTAGAATTATTTAGAATTCATTTGGCTGAGGGACTTAATTGTACCTTTGTTCTGCAGTTCAAGGAGCTGGGTTCTTTGTTCTTTACTGCTGTTCAGAGCAGAGGATCCAGATGTTTGGGCTTTAAGTAAAATCCACTACATAAACTTTCTACCACTGATTATCCATCTACTAATCTTGAGCTAATTTTAGCATGTGAAAAGGTCATTTCCAGCTTATCCTAGAATGCCTGGTGATGATGCTGTGAGCTTCTGCTTTTATCTTCTAGTTTGTCTTTTCCTTCAAAGATTAGTTTAAAAAATCTCACACAGGAAGACTGACCATCTTTCTCTGACTCCAATTCAAACTTTTACCCAGAATTCCTTATGTAAAATGTGCTCAGGTTATGCTAATTTGCAATTTCTTCTGTGATTTTTGTAAATGTATTTTTGTTTTCTCTGTAGAGTAGGCCAATGTCTACTCTTCAGGACTTTTGCGAGGATAGAAATATTGTGTAGTGCTGAGCACATGGCAGGCATAGAGCTGCTGTCTTTCCCTGGTGGGTTGTAAGCCCTTGGGTGACCGATGAGGTATGAGCAATAGAAGTCATGACCTCTGAACCAGCCTTGAAACAAATTCATTCTAGATGGAAATTCTATAGCACAGAGCACTCAATTATCCTGAGACACAGGATGTCCAACGTAGAGCTTATTCTCTTATTAATTATTTTATGGAACAGAAGTCCTTGTGCCACTGCCCGCCAGGGGACAGGTTACATGAGCATAACTGTGGATCATGGCTGAATTTTCTTGGCACCAAGCTTAACTGCTAGAAATCCTTACATTTTAAAATTGAAAATAAAGCAAAAGACAATCTGAGTCTAGGACAGTGTGTGTATTTTACCTGAATCCAAGCAACCTTTTTCTTTTCAAAGCCACTTTAGCTGGATATTGCTTTAGTTTACTGAGTGCTTCCTTATGCAATTTATTTATTTCCTTTAGTGCTTCAGACAACATTCCAAAAGCAGATGAGATCCGCACCCTGATCAAGGATGTGTGGGACACTCGCATAGCCAAACTCCGGGTGTCTGCTGACAGCTTTGTGAGGCAGCAGGAGGCACATGCGAAGGTAGGTGTACTGCTGAGGGATTTCCTGCAGCGTTCTGCCTGCTTAGGCTATCACAAACAGGAATTACTGGCTGTGCTTTTAAAAATTATTGGTTTCTTATTTTTGTTCAGTAGATTTTTTCTCAATCAGAAACTTCTCAACCAACCCTGTTTTCTCTTCTTTTAGCTGGATAATTTGACCTTGATGGAGATCAACACCAGTGGGGCATTCCTCACACAAGCTCTCAATCACATGTACAAACTCCGTACAAACCTGCAACCTTCTGAAAGTGCCCAGTCTCAGGACTTCTAGAGAATGACCTTTGATTTGTAAAGGCCTTGTGTCTGCTGGCATGAGGCTTCCCGGGTAATGTGTGAGTGCTCAGGACATGATAGAGGTACTCAGTACTGGGTTTCTAGAACCATTTGAATGTAAGGAAAACGTGCAATGAAGCAAGGAATGGATTCATAACATTGTTGGAGAGCAACAGGTTATGCTTAGTTCTTAAGATATTCATTAATTCCACATCTGTCTCTAGAGGCCAACTGCTCCTTTATGGAGGAAAGAAAAAGCTTCAGCAAACAAGCCATTCTCCCTAGCACGGTCTCAGGTCTCCTGCACGGAACTGTTATGTGTGGGTGAGTGTTCAGTGATGTTCATGTTGCTTTGAAAAATCAGAGATACAAATGGTGATGTGGCCCTAGGACTTTGTTGTTTTTGATATGGATCTTTTTGGCTGAATTTAAATCTAGAGATTGCTCACATAGAGGAGGATGGCAGATGGTGGCTTGTGATGCCGACTGGGGTTGATCTCAGCCAGGGGTGGGAAACCTTTTTTCTGCCAAGGGCCGTTTGAATATTTATAACATCATTTGCAGGCCATACAAAATATCAACTTAAAAATCAGCCTGCTATATTTGGTCAAACATTTTAATTAACACCCCTAATGCCTTGGTAGGGCCAGACCAAATGATTTTGAGTGCCTTATAAGGCCCACAGGCTAGATGTTCCCCACCCCTGATACAGAATAAAGATGGAATCAACCCAATCTGTTGGGTTTATTTTCTCCTGCTTAAGCCATGTGGCTAAAATGATAATGATAGACCAAACTGAGGTGTGTAGCAGGTTGTAAACTTCAAACACTCTGGTTGTCTCTTGTTATCTTTGCTACTTCTGGTTACAGTTTAAAGGGTTGCTTTTAAAAGTAACCATGTTATTTGAGTATGTAGTGAAGCACAGTGCTAAGAAAAGTTGGACCTATAACACTGCTCTTGATGGGTTTTAGGGTAAGATGGTCATAGGTAGCAGTGGCTCAAAGAAGGGTAAATTCTAAGAGAAAAAAATTCAAATATAGCGTTTTGGAATTGCTAAATTGCTCATAGAAATTTTATTGCCCTGAAAGGGGAAAAGATTGTCTAGAGCAGCAGTTTTCAACCTTTTTCATTTCATGGCACACATAAACACATAATTACTAAAATTCTGCGGCACACCAAAAAAAAACTATCTTTTGCCAATCTGACCAAAAAGAATAGGTGTAATTTTGATTCATTCACACTGTTGACAGCTATTGTGTTGGCTACTGCCATTTTTTATTTGACAATCTAAGGGAAAAGAGGTCAGTGCCCCTGACTAAATAGTCAGGTATTCCATGTTTAAAAAAATGCTTGTGGCACACTGGTTGAAAATCGCTGGTCTAGAATCATACAATGAGTGGCAGTTTCTGTAACCTGGTGGTTTTCGACTGTCACATGCTATCTCAAGGGCTTTTTGAAGAGTGTATGTGATCAGCTGAGCCTGGAAGAGACCTGCTGGTATCTGCTCTTCAGTGTTTGAAGTCCAAACTTACTTCAGGTTTCTCCATTCCACATTGCTATCCATCTAGATGTCCCTCCAACAAGCAGCTGATGGTTGTTTGAACACTGAAGGGCCAGGCACAGAGAGATTAGGATACAGAAGACTTGTTTTTATCAGTTAAGGTGACTGTTAAGAGCAGTGGTTGACAACCGGTGGTCTGTGAGGTCTGGAAGGTTGGCAACGCTGGCTTAGAGGACCGCTTTCATATGACAGGACTTGCCTTTTCTTGTCACTTTTACTCGGAGTCCTTCAGATTTTAATCCGGGGAATCTTCTTGAATGCAGCCACCTTATTGTGAAGGGTCAGGAATCCTGTGTAGCTCAGATCAGCCCCTAATACCTTTCTCCTAAAACCTGACTGAGGTACATTGGATCTGTCTTCACATTTTACCTGTAAAGCTGTATAGTTGTTGAGCATTAAAAAAAAAAAAAAAAAATTTGGTCTCTTTTTATTATAGCATAAAAAAGATTTTCCTCTTAACATGATTTAGGAAGATTTTATTTTTTTTGGATGTTGTCAGAAATTACAGCAATATATTCATAAATACCTAATTACTACATTCAACAAATAATATTACAATACAATTAATTCAAACAAGTACACTTAGAACAGGTTTAATTTCACAGCATCTAAACTGCCCCCAGAGTGACCGAGGCACTGTTCCTCCTCCCTCCCATGTACTGGTTTACTGTTCTAGCAATTAAACACAGGGTACATACAAAGTAACACAACCAATTAGCATGGTCTTCCTCAGGTCTAGGCAGAGTTAAGGAGTTTAAGTTAAGTGCTGGATCAAAAGTTGGGGACAGGCTACTGCAAGTAGTAAGAAAGTCAATAGCTTGGTTACTTGAAAGAGTATAGGGATTGCTGCTAAATGGCTAATATACACTTATTTAAGAGGAACAGAATCGGCTTGTGCTGATCATCTCCATCTTGTGGTGGATCCTTGGAATTTTCTACACTTTAAAAAACACATGGCTCAGAGGGAAAGGGAGTATCTTGATGTAATTTTTGAGATTAGGCAGCCTTTAGGAAATACCGTTCCATGTACAAACGTAAGATTTCTTGTGTTATAATTCTTCACTGCTGAATATTCTTTGAATTTCCTTAAGGGTATTATCTAATAGAATGTTAATGCCAATTTAGTGTTTTATTTCCTTTAGAATGTAGACTAAACTGTTGAAAACCCTACCTTGGCCATTTATCTTAGACAATGGATTATATCATGAAATGTTTTCATTGTCAGTTTGGCTGATTATATGAAACAGAGAACCAATGCATTTTCAAATGATCAGGTGTGTAGATCCAAGTTTTGAGGAACGTTCTGGTTTGTCCCTAAATATTTGATTAAATGCGAAGCTGGGGATTTGGCTTTGGAAGGTGTCCCTCACAAGTTTAACAAAACAGCCGTCTCCTGCCGGTGCTGTAGGAAGCACATGAGGCCGTGGAGGACTGACACAGGTTGCAAAATCAATTCTAGAGCAAATTCGGTGTTCTTCTGAGCTGTGTCTTTTAAATTCAGTGTGAAATAGCTGAACAAAATCTTCAGAGAGCGCATATTTGCCCGTTTTTAAGCCCAAACTGAAAAGAAAAATTAGATGAGATGAAAATGTGTTTTAAGATTTTAGAACTAATTATTGGATGGAAAAACCATTATTGGGTACTATGTCTTAGTGGTGCATTTGTTTTCAAAAGACACTTTACCTTTTTCTTAGTTTATTATGCTGCCTTTTCTGGTATATATTTATATTCTCTGATTGTCATATTACTTCTTAAGCCCAAGAATATTCAGAGATCTCTAGAGATGGGTGGGAGTTTGGTGTGGCGGAGTGACAGAGAAGCTCAAGTGCAGGGTGACAGTGGCGTTTTCAATGGGAAGAAGGAAAAGCAGTTGTTACTAGCTCAGGGACGTCCTCCCTGACAACTAAACAAACCCCACCAAGGGAGCTCCCCTGGGCTGGAGGAGGAATGGGGCTCTGCTTTTCTTTCCCATCAAGTTATTAGATCTACATTTTTCTTTTTCTAAGCCAAGGCCATTACCAAAGCTGATCAGCAAAATTACTAGTACTCAGACATTCTGTGATGGCGAAGGAGGACTGGGAGTGAAGTGCTAAGATGTAGCTCTTAAGCTTTCAGACCAGAAGCAGCAAGCAGATTTTAAAGAGAGAAATTCAGTGACATTTTGCCCTGATTGTTGGCAATAGAGTTCCCTCTAAACACCTGTCCCCACCTGTGGAACATGTTGATCTCTCAATGTCTTTGCAGGGGAGGCCACAGAACAGCCCTTAGATCTCGTCAAATCGTTTCTGTGGAGAGGAAGGCGCTTGTTGACTGCTGATAATACTGGCGGCACTTTTTGTCTGAGTTTGCTAATAACTGGAAGATTCTTGGCAGACATACAAAGCAAACTGTGTGGGAACAGATAAAGCGACACAATGCCATCTGCCAGCAAGCTGTTCTGCACAGCTAAGGTCTGGGGCTGAGGGTGCGGCCACTGATCACAGTGAGTAGCCTTCATGAAGGTCAGCCAGCCCTTCCCCTGGGTAAAGGGGAGGCGTGATCACACTCAGACCTCCTCCCATCCCCTCCCCTGGCAGACCAACCAGTGGCTGCTTTAGCCTCTGGTTCAAGCCCATTCAGGCAAGAGATACTTGCTTGATCTAGATTAAACCCTGCCTGAATGAGCAGTTAACTGGGACAAGAAGGAAAAATTTGCCCATTGCTTTGCACTGATCTGATTATCTGTTTCTAGCTGCTCCTGTGCTTGTCACAGTCAGTTCAAAAGGAGGAGAAGTTCAGCTCAGACATTGTTTATCCTTTATCCTACTTTTAGGCTTTTACAAAGCTTTGCATCTAAATAAAGCCTCTAGAGTTTCTACTTTGCACCTGTTCTCAGACTGCTGTAAGACACCTTAGAATTCTATCACAAACTGCTCACTTCCTGAAAGGTTCTTTTGCAAAAAGCCCCATGTCTGTAGGTGCATGCATAGGTGCACACCCAGTATGTCTTGTTCACCATAGACTAGCCCCTCCTCACTGATAGCAACTAGGTATAACTGCTATTTGCTGTCCAGAGCTGGGGGGAGGGGGTAGAGAAGGAGGTAAGAAGTAACGCATGGCTTTCTACATCATTTTCTGGTGCAACTCAAAAATGAAGTGATCGCATAGGCGCCAGTGGTAAGCTCTTTTACTTTTCTTCTTCTTTAATTTTTAAAAACACTTCAATATTTAATGTCCTGACCAGCAGCAGTACAAACACTAAAAGCAAGTTTGTTGTTGTTTCTTTTTTTTGCCCAGAAAAAAAAACACAAAACACAAAACCCCAAAACAGGAAAACAAACAAAAATCCCCCAAAACCACATATTAAAAATGGCAGGCCTTTTATAACAATAATTAAAGTAATAAAAACATACAAAACTTTTTTTTAATATATATACACAGTACAAGGCTGAAGCACCTTTGACTTTTCTCTCAAAATTTGTTTGTATGAAAACACCCCCCACTGCAGCAACAATTTGGTGGGTGTGCATATATGTATACATAGAGCTCTGTACACTCCCCCCCCACCCCACCCCACGGAGTAATAAAAAAGGTACCTTCAGTTTGTCAATTTGCTTTATCTTTAGGTGAGAGCTTTTCCAGGGAAAAGCCTGCTATTGGTAAGACTTTTAGTACTGTTGCTTTGAAGAAAATTTTGCAGAAAAGTAACCAAAACAAATAAGCCCTTCACTTAAAATGCACCCCACCTTCATTCAGCTGAAGCAGGTCTCAGTCCTGGGGAGGCATGAGACCGACCCTCTGCTGCAGCAAAAGCAAACTTGGGTCTTCAGGCATAGTAATATGGCAACACAAGAAATAGAACACAAGCAGTTTGATCCAATCTTATGCACCCAGGGGCTATAAATGATAAAAGTTTTAGTGTTGGTAATGGAGCCTTCATTTTCAGATTTTAAAACGGTGACATGGGGAAAGAAAGAATAAAATTGCCTTTTAAAAAAATATATGGGCGATGTCCTACATTGGTTGCTCGCTGAATTACAAAGGTGATTCAGTTGCATTGAAGTCAAGGTGAGTTCGTTCTTTTTCTGGAGTCTGGAATCCTTTGCTTCATGCATGGCACATTCTTTATTATTTTTTTTTAAGCTTCAAACCTCCCAGTGAAAAATATTAAATATTCAAGGTAATAAAATAGATAATATTTCTATACTATAGGTTCGGCCTAGTGCAAGGGAAACCGTCACCTAGGATATCCCTTAAAGTAACCCCTAGGCCAATGCAATGCAGGCAATGCAAGGCACTTCCGGAAGTGATCCAGTTCCGCCTGGATTCGCTCTCTTTCTGAGACAATCTTCTGTTTCTGGCTCCTCAATTCCTGCAGAGAGAGATTTGCATTAAACAAACTGGTTTCACGGAAGTGTATGTGATGCAGAAATGTGCTGGAGGCCACTTTGAAAACCTCCTCCTTCCAGTTCAGTGTTCTGACAGTGCCTCTGGGGGCAGGCTGAACTGGTTCTTCCTAAGTCTTGGGTTCTCACAGTACCTGCTCTCATGGAACTAGTGTCCACTGTTGTCTCAGCTTCAACCCTGAGCTTTAAAAATTAAAACCTTTACTGCGTAGGAGTGGCCAAGATGTGCAGACCTGATCTGAGATAAGCCCCACGTCCCCACTGGGAGGAAGCCCTTGGGGCTTGCCACATGTCATAGTTGGACGACCTGTTGGGCCAGGCTGCAAAGAGGAAGGAGGTGGTTTGTTTTCCTTAATAACTTTACTCCAGTAAAATCCTTCTTCCTTTTTCCTTAGCAAATCACAGCAGGGGAGACTGACAAAGGCAATAAATAATTCCCCAAAAGGAATATTGCATCTTCATTCTTCCAGGATCAATATTCTGCAAATTAGTGATGCCTCCCTCCTTGGCTAGGGTAATCAACTGAGCCTTGAACGTCTTCCCTAGGACTATAAGCTTTAAACTCTTTTTTTTTTTTTTTGAAATTTTTAAAAATATTTTATTGATTTTTTACAGAGAGGAAGGGAGAGGGATAGAGAGTCAGAAACATCAATGAGAGAGAAACATCGATCAGCTGCCTCCTGCACGCCCCTTACTGGGGATGTGCCCGCAACCAAGGTACATGCCCTTGACCGGAATCGAACCTGGGACCCTCCAGTCCACAGGCAGACGCTCTATCCACTGAGCCAAACCGGTTAGGGCAAGCTTTAAACTCTTAAGAGCAGGACTGTCCCTCAAAACTTGTCTGTATGGCTAATCTTGAACCCAAAGGTTAAACACAAGAAGCACAGTGTGTTTTAAGAAAACCTCCTCTGGAGCTGATTTTCATTCCTTTTCCCGTGTGTGGCGACCCAAGACTCACCGCCATGCTGTGGGAGAGCTGTTCTGCTGTGAGACTGAGGCTGTAGTGCTGGGCCTCCAGCCGTCTGTACTGTGTCTGCAACACCTGCCGCTCCAGATTTTGCTCTGAAAAGACAAGCGCTGTTGATGTATTTTCTGTGTACAGGGATCACAGACTCTGCGATTGTTTTCCCTCTCATGCAGCCAGCATAGTACTCTCCTTGGGACCATAAGGCTCCAAGTTCTTGGTATCACGCTGGTAAATATGTCAGTGTTACTAAATTAAATCCAGCCCAGTGGAATCAAAGGATCAAGCATCGAAAGGCAATTTAAGGGATACAGATTAAGAAATTAAGGGTAAATTTATGGCCTTAAGATACATTTTTCAAAAAGAAAGATAAAAAATATTGGCGTTAGCCTTGGAAGTTTTTAAGCTGGTAGAAACGGCCAGAATAAACCTAGAAATTCAAAGTGGAGTTCGAATTAGTAAAATGAAATCTGCTCTTCCGAAAGATTCCAGGCCTGCTTTTAACAGAAGAGTGACTTCAAACTTGCAAGGGTAAATCCCTGCATCACACAAAGTATTTCCAAGAATAAAAACCAGGGAAAGCTGCCAGACTAATTTTATAGAAACTAGAACAGTTTCAGCAAAATAAATACAATAAAATTAGCACCTAATACCACTTAAGTAGATTTAAAACCTTAAAAGAAGTAACAAGTTAAATTCAGCAAGGAGGAAATGACATTAGAAAACAAAAGTAGGGTCATCATCTCAATGGGTACAGAAACTGCATTAGTTAAACCTTTAACGATCATATACCATAAGCTCAGCAGCAAATGAGATGCTTAATGGACCACTTCTAAAGTTTCACAAGACAAGAGCCCAGTTAGTGTGCCTCTAATTCAATGGCTTAGCGGTTCTAGGAAATGCAATATGAGAAAAAGTTAAACACTCAAAAGGAAAGAACTAAACTTAACCTGCAAAAGGTCTGATTACCTAAGGAAGAAGGGCTAACAAAAATTAAAAACCCACAATATCAAAGTGGTAACTAAATCTAATAAAAGTAAACTACTCATGGAGAAAAGTCAGCAAAATTTATTTAGCATAATTTATCCTATTCATAAGTGGAATAATATCACTATTAAAGATGTCAATTCTTCCCAAATCTGTGAATTCAATTGGGCGGAACAAATAAGGTGATCCTAAAATTCACCGGGGAAAGCCAAGGGCCAAGAACAGCTGAGCTGTTAGAGAAGAACAAGTCAGGGTGAGTTACTCCTGACAACAGAGCGCTGCAAAGATATGGTATGACACAGGGATGGGCCAGGACCCCAACGGGTGGAGCAGAACAGCACCAGAGAGACCTGGGCACAGGTGAGGATGCTGCATGATGGGCATGCCCAGAGGGAAGAGGCATCCTGGAAACCGCCAGGATAATTGGTTGTCCGGGCAGGAAAGATGAGGTTATATTTCTACCTTATTTCTTACACAGAAATGAATTCTAGGCACAAGAGAAGCAGAACGTGAATACTTTTAGAAGGAAATGCAGAATATGTCCTTGGAGGTAGGGAAGGAATTCCCAAACAAGTCAACAAACATCAACCCAGAAAAAGTGGATACACCTCACTCCATTGAAGTAAATAATAATGCTATACATTGCTTCTGGATACATACGTATGTACTTAAGAGCAACAGGTAAGAAGTGATGGAAAATTCAAATAAAGGATTCCATTTGAAGGAGGAAAGGGAATGAACAGTAGGAATTGATACTCTGGTTGTCCCTTTGTTAGTCTGTCTCTGACTTTTCCAAGTATTTTAAATGATTATGCTATTCATAATCAAATGTTTATATTTACAATATAGTAATACTTGATAAAACTTGTGTGATATGGAAATGAATTAATTAGGAGGTGGCAGCCTGGGTTTTGCATTTCTCAACTCATGTCAAACTGACAGCACTGTCGCTGCACTAAGGACTCAACAGAGTGCAGAGGGGCAGGGCTCACCATGTCAGCGGGACAGAGACCAGGAGCTCAGAGTGCCTGCCAGTGCTCTGCTCCTCGTCCTTCCTGGGAGTCCACCTGCCTGTTTTACTGGAGGGAAAGGCTGGGCTCCTCCACTTCCCCTGCATCAAGTTCACAGCACACAGTCTCTAAGCTGGAAGGGGCCTTTGCAGGCATCTCAAGGAAAATGAGGTGCAGAGAAGGGCGGTTGTGTGCTGGAAGCAATGCCAGAGCTCCACCAGCGTGCAAGCCTGTGACCCCCGCACCCGGTACATGAGACCAGTGTGGGAGGGGTGTGCCCACAGGATGTGTTCCACCAGGCAGGGGTGGAGTGTGCACCCACAGTTGAGAATAAAACATTCTGGTGGCTGATGGGCTTGCCTCCCTGCACAAAAAGGACTGGCCTGAGAGGGAAAGTGCCGCCAGCATTGAGACACTTCGAATGCAAGGCAGGCTCACACAGGGATCAGGCCTGGCTATTCGGAGTGTAGCTAAATTAATGAGCTTTGCATTTTCCAGGACCCTTGTACGTAGCTCCGGTGAGAATGGTCTCAAGTTTGTCCATGAAGAATTACCACTCTAAGTAAGCCTGGGCACCTACAGAAGCCTGAGGAACAGTTCTTAAAATGGGCAAAATGGAGGAAAATTCACCTTCTAGTATTAGCATCTAGTGCCCCAGAAAATCTGCCAGTACTGTCCCTTAGAAACTGTCCCTAATGCTGGCAGTGAAGTCCTGCACTGATTGGTCTATTAAGCTTTCACTGACTTTCTTTACTGGGCCCTCATTCTGCTCCTCCCTCCCCTTTGTACCTTCTATATGTTCCTGGTAAGCTTCAAAAATTGCCTCAATCCCTTGCCACTTGCGCCTGGGGGGTTCCTCATCATCCTCTTCTCCATCCTCCTCCTCTTCCTCCTCTTCCGAGTCCTGGTCCGTCTCCTGTGTGAGGGGGCCCTTCCTCACGGCCGGGGGCTCCTGCTGCCCGTTGTGCTGGGGCAGAGGGAGCCGGCTTGAGGACTGCAGCTCAGGAATGTTGTAGTGGATGGATGTGTCAACTTTGTGGTTCTGCTCTGCAGACAGCACGGCTCCATTCCCTGGGGAGGAGAAAGAGTGGAAATGAAATGCAGCAAACCCTGTTCTCCAATCATCAGTGACTCCCACCAAAATTTGGGAGAGTGAATATGGGGGCTCACATGAGGGGTTAGCACAACCATTAGATCACGAAGTGCTCACCAGGCCCACTGAGTCTAGTATTAAAGGACGGGGAGATTTCCAGCTGAGTCTGTATGGGGACACTGGGAAAACCCTCAGCTGTAGGACACGTGGACCCTATTTTTGCCAGAAAGGCATCCCGCCTGGCCTTACTAAAAGAAGTGCCTCTACTAAACTCAGGTGGCATCACGTTACGTTTTCTCCAAGTGTGGTCCCCGCCCGGCAGCATCACTCGAGCACCAGCTGGAAGTGGAGACTCTCGGGCCCCATCCAGACCTGCTGAGGCGGAATCTGCCTTTGACGACCTCCCCAGGTGCCTCCTGCACACTGACGTGCCAGAGGGGCGCACCCAGGGCGGGCAGCCGCCTTACCTTTGTGCTTCTGGAGGGCCTTCTGGGTGGACTGCAGCACGGACTCGTGGAACTGATGTGCAAACTCCTCTGCCATGAAGGGCTCCCACGACTTGCTCTTCCCGTTGACGCTGTGGGACAGGGGCACGGGAATGTCCTTGGGGGCGGGGCCCCTGATGTAATGCATCATGCTCAGGTTCTTCTTGCCCCCAGGGGCCTCATTCAGCCTGGCCTTCTCGCTGCTGGCAGGAGTCAGCTCCTGGAGAGACAGTTCCTGTGGCCGGAGCTGCTCCAGTCTCCCAGGCTCTGTGACCTTTGGGACGTCAGACAGGGAAGCAGCAATACCCACCGGCTTTTCCATATCCAGAGAGGCTGGCTGCGTGGCTGGTTCTTTTAGAGACAGAAAGCGAGGAAAATATTAAGAGCTGCAAGGGACCAGACGGGCCCTGACCTCTATGGCTTACACTTAACAAAACCTAATACAAAGGACCAAGACTCAGGGAGCCGTTTAATTAAATGTCAGTGCACAGGTGTGGCCTGAGGACAGGGTGTGGTAGCAGCAAGTCCATCCTTGGAAGGTGCCCCAGGAAGGCATCTGGGAAGAAAAGGAATCTGAAGGAAGAAGCGAGTCATTTCAGGTCATCCAAAAGGCAAGAAGTTATGTAGCCGGACCCGACAAGAAAGACTGTGTTAGGAGTTAAGGACAGGGCTGGATAATAAAGATCTGCTCCACTCAGCAGCACTGCAATGTGCAATCAAAGCCATAAGAGAGGGAAGGTGTGAAAGCAGATGCTGGAAAGGCCTGGAAGGCAGAATGAGCAAGACAGACGCAGGAGAGTGCCAAGGAAGGGCAGACAGCATTAGCAGAGCCGAAGCAGAGGTGCCGAGACCTGGGACACAGGGCTTCGGTGGCCTGGGCCACCCCTGGACTGACAGACGGTGGCTACAACTACACTGACCGCCAGAAGCCTGGACCCTCCCCTTCACTCTCTGAGCCCTGACTTCAGCTCTCATGTTCTGGCCTGAGGAGATCCTTCGCCATCATGGAGGAAGCTTGTATGAGACAGAGAGGGAGAAGTGCACTCTGTCTCCAGGAGGAAAGATTCGTGATGAAGACCTTGAGCAGTCGCTTCTGACCCTGGGCAGCCCACAGGACGGTCCTGGGCAGTGGCGGATGGGCCTTCCCGCCCTGGGCCTTACCGCTCAGGGAGACAGCAGGACTGTCCCTCGGAGAGTTTCTGAGAGAGTCTGCCACTGCCGCTGACAGTGCCTTCTGCTTCATGGCATGGAGCATTTCGACAAGTTTCTCTTTGTCTATGAGAAAAGCAGCCTGAGATTAACAAGACAGTTGCATTATTTCTGAGAGGGAAGGGGGGCAGGATTCTAGCCCAGGCTGCGACTGGCAGGTGCAAGTCCTTTAACCAAGAAAAAACACAAAGCTGGCACCACTGGGACAGGTGGTGTTTAAAGGAAGAAACCTTGGTGTCAGAGTGAGCCCAGATGCCTCTCAGCTTTTCCTGCGTAACATTTCAGAGGTATTCCAAAAATAGCTGTGTGTGTGGTGATGACAGCTATGCGACATAATGGGGAGCTGTGATCTCCCACGGTAACTTCCGAGGATGCATTCTTATTTAAAAGACAAAAATGTTGGCCCCAATACAAGGAAGCAACCCCTGGAAGCGCAGGCTGCTCTCTGGCGCGTTCTCTTCCCCCTCCTCCTCCTGGCATCAATTCCCACGACGGCTGCCCCTTATGGAAAAGGAAGACTCCTGTGATGTTCGATGCCACGAATTCCTGTTGCAGTGGCACTTCTTGGTGAGACTTAAAAGGTTTCCTCTAGAATAAGTCAGGGAAAAAGACACTTTCCACGACAGAACTGTGCATGTTCCCAGAGACTTGTGCTGCTCATCACATGTCCCTGCCCCTTCGAGGTGAAAGTGAGAATTCCAGCTTGTTGGTTAAAGACAAAAAGTAATTGCTACACCCCAACAGCGAAGTAAGTAGAAGCAACTAAATGACCAATACACTTTTGCTTTCTTTTTGACTTCCTTCCCAGAGAGAGGTGACAGGTATCAGCAAGGGGGACGTGGAAGTGCGCAAACGAGCACCCATGACAGGCCAAGTTCTCACGTCAACCAATATCCCGGCACTAAGTGAGCGTGTGGGGGCAGATCAAGGAAGCGGACATCCCCAGAAAGCGTTCACGCCACACCATGTCTTCCACATCACATGTTCCAGCCCCAAGCGTCAGTCCCAACAGGGCTGATCTGGAAGCACCTTTCAGGGCAAGCTGCCCACTCACAATGCCTATCGGCTCTGCTGGCGGCCACAGGCCACCCAAGCCTCCTGCCATCAGAGACGAAGCCCAGTGGCCATGCCAGTGGCCCAGCAAGAGGAAGCGCCTGCCATGAGCCTGGAGTGCTCTGCCACAGGAGGAAGCACTGTGCCTTGTACCAACAGGGTCGCTAAACCTGCCTTCTCAAGTGACAAGTGACAAGAGCAGCTTTACATACAGAACAAAATACTCGCAAGTTTCTCTTCCACTCCAGATGAAATGGAAAAACGCTTTGAGTGGGACAATTTGAGTTCAGATGGAAGAAGGCTGAGATAGTGGGGCCGGTCTGCTTGCTGCTTCCGTGGGGAGCCCAAAGGCGGTAAGAGCGCCTTGGGCCAAAGTGTTTTCAGGTTCTGCCTGGAACGTGGGTCCTGGACATCCCCAGGAGCCTATGAACCCCACCTGCTTCTCCAGAAGCTCCTAGTGAGCCCCATCCCCAAAAGGCCCAGGCGAGGCCCTACCTTTCCTCTTCTCGGCACTGATGTGGGTCAGGTTGAAGATGGTCAGGAACTTCTTTTTCTCTTCGAAGTTGGGGCTGTTGTTCATCTCATCGGGACTATAGCGGGTGAACAGGGCCAGTCTCGGTGAAGGTGTCTGCCGCTTGTTCTGAATCGTCGGGGGCGATGGGCTTCTCTCTCTCAGCATCCGCCGCCGCTTCCTCCGCTTCTGGGTCAGCAGTTCCTCCTTCTGCTGTTGGGTGGTCAAGCCAAAAAGTTGCAAAAACTCTAGCTTCTAGATTGGGAAAGAAAACAAATGAGTTTGAAACCACCAGCAGTGGTGTGACTGCACTGTCCCAGGGGTCCCTCCTGGGGTCCCCCAAGCCCATGTACCATGGCCAACTCTGTGCTGGGCCTCAGAGGGGGACCCTGATAGCACACCCAGGCACCTGCAGTCTGTGGGGACTGGAGGAGCGAGGGAGAGCCCAGCAAATGTGGGGTCTACTGGGACAGTGGGAAAGCCAAGAGGCAGGCGCTAATGTGGGCACGCAGCCTGACACAGCAGTGATGAGACCCGATACCTCGGAGGATGTATCCAGTTTGAGGGGCGGCTGCTCGGCCACGCAGCGAAGATGGGCCCTGACCTCCTCTTCGTCACTCTCATCATAGGAGTCATCCAGGTCGTAGTAGTATCCTGATGACAAGAACAGCTGTATTTAGCTGGGCAAGAACACTCCGTTCTCTAGTGGATGGACATGGGGGCAGGCACCCCTGTGATCTTTGTGCAGACCCACCCATCAGGCCAGGCCCTGCTGGCCCTTTTAGTACCCTGAAACCTCGATTGCTTTCAATCCAGGTGAAAATGGCATTAGCCCCGAGGCCTAGAACTTTTTCAGGAATGGCAGGCAGGGGCAGGAGGCAGGCACCAGGCTTGGCTTAGACCCATAGCCCCCAAGTGGCCAGGCAATTCCTGGGCTGACACATCCCCAGCAGGGGACCCTTCGTCACACAGGACTGGGGCTGTGTCCATGGCAACCCAAGACTGTTTGTGCACATCAGCTCACTCCTGCTGTGGCCATCTGGGTCCATTACCCAGGAGGGGACACGCACACTCAGATCCCGTTGTCTCAAAGGCACAGAGCATGCACACAAACTCAATGTGCAGAGAACAGCAGCAGAATCCCTGCACCCAGGGGCTCCCCACTCTTCCTTCACAAGGTGAATAGAGGAGAAAGTCCTTCTTGGGCCCTCAATCTCGCCTAGACCAACCACCCAGGAAGTCTCGGCCTCGGCCCCAGCTTCTGGCTAAGAGACTGAATACAACCCGCATAGGACCCCAGTTTCCAGCAAGAGACGAGAAACTGGTCTGGGGCCTCTGGCCCCTCTTGGTCACATGGGGGTTGCAGGTGGAGACAGTCATTCTCACCTGTTCTCCTTGGCTCTTTGGGGAGCTCAGGGCGCTGCTGGCTGAGCCCCCTCCTCCCCCCACAGGAGCAGGAAAGAGGTGGCCAGACCTCCCGCTTTCGCCCTGCCCAGGCCTGACTGCCTGCAATTGATGGCAGCTCCCTATACCAACCCCTGCTGGGCTCAATAGCCTCCTCCCCCGTTATGATGGACTATTAATATTTAAAACTGCCTTATTAGCCTCTGTTCATCATTTATTAATCATGCATTTCTGTGGAACCGTCTTTACAGACAGGCTTTGATTTGGCTTTTTGGGACAATTTGCATTTCAGCAAGACAGGCAAAGGCCCTGGGTCTATCTCCCAGCAGAGGTATCAGGTAGCTACACAGAAGCCAGTGCCCTTGCTCCCTGGAGCTGCTAAACCCCGAGCGGGAGGCAGGGGTGGTAGGAGGGGCTGAGTGGCGGGCACTACGGCTCTCTAGTCCCGGGAGGTCAGACGCCACCAAGGGAGACCGGACCTTTCTCCTGGGCCTCTCGCCGCCTGCGCTCTTCCAGGTCCAGCTTGCTGACCAGCCTCCGGCGCTGCTGCAGGAACTCATCAAAGATGTAGGCGGGGTCAGAGCCGCGTGGTGCCGGGGGCCGGTAGGGTGAGCCCGGCTTTAGGGGTCCAGTGAGTTCCCCAAAGGGGGGTGGCTGGGTGAGGGAGGCCCGCTGCTGGCCCAGGATGGTCTGGGTGGACTTCTCAAGCTCAGCCAAGAAGGGCCCAGGTCCATGAGGAAAGGCCTGTTGCTCCAGGCTCCCTGACTCCCGTGGAGGTGGCTGGTACTTGTCCAGGGGGGTGGCCTCGCGCTTCCGGGGCCCTTCCTCCACCTTTTCTGGGCCGTAGACCCGTTCCACCTTCACCAGCGGGACTGCCGCCTGCCGGCCGGGCTCGAACAAGGCAGGGTGGCTGTGCAGAGGGTGGCTCTCGGGTGCCCGCCGTGTCTCCAGGGTGCTGTCCATCAGGGACACCGGGTTCCAGAGGGCCGTGGGCACGGAGTGGTGCTGGGGCTTGGGCGAGATGAGGGGCGGGGGCCCGCCAAAGTGCTGCGGGGGGTCTCGGCTACCCGGCTCATGACGGTTTGGTCCCGGCCTAGGGAGTGAACAGACCAAGCCGTTAGTCATGAGAATGGGCATGCCAGCCACCCAGCCATGGGCCTCCCAGGCTGCCTGCCAGGGCCCGGGTGTAATAGGCAGCTTCAGAGATGGCCCAGACGGGAGCCCCCTTCGAGAGCCAGGCGCTAGAGGGGTGCAGAGGCCTCCTTCTCTAAGCCACCTGGCCAGGGCCTGGAGGGAAGGATGCAGCTTCCACTCCTCACCTGAGTGCTGGCTGTTTCCCAAGACTCCACTTCCTCTCCAAACAACTTGAGGCAAGTGTGTGTAGACCTGCTTTTGTGAAGACACGGAGGCTGGGGGTGGGTGGGTGGACTCTGCTTGCTGAGGGCACAGAGACGGTCTCAGGCCCAGGCCAGACCCTCCTTCTATCTGGTTTCTCACCCAAAACCTTACAATAGCTCTTTCTATTCCACCAATTCCTGAGTCCCTATCACCTCCCGTAAGGACAGATCCTCATCTTTGTTTTCCACAGGAATCCCATTACACAGAGAAAAAAGACAGGACTCTGACGCCAAAAGGGTGACCCTGCTATTGGTACCCACCTCCCACATGCCGAGCAGTGGGCAGATAACAGAGGGTGGGCCGGCTGCCTGCAAGGTGGCCTTAACTCCTCTCTCCACACTGTCCTTGCAGACAACAGTAAGAGAGAAAGAGACCAGCTTCCAGGGCTGCCCAGCCCAGTGACAGGGTGGGGGTGAGGGGAGAAAGACCCTCACAGCCGGGGTGGGCCTGAGCCACTGCTGACCCCCAGTGGTTCCCGTGAGAACTGCAGCAGCCCCACATGGCCCTGAAGCAGGAGCTGGGCTGGGGCCTGACCAGGATGTCCATCGGGCCAAGCAGCTTTGCCACGCAGTCCTCCTAAACGACTCTTTCCTTCATGCATTTAAACAGGATCCAACAAAAGGCTACTTGGTGGTTGTTTTTCCAAAGTATCTATTTTTTAAGGGAAGTGCTATGCTGCCCAGGAGACCAGGGCAAGGTCGGAGGGGATGGAAGGGGTAGAGGCAGAGGGCACTGCAGGTACATGACCAGACTGTCAGGTCTCTCCCTGCCTGGCCAAGTAAGGAGACGTTTAACCACTGCCGAAAAGCCCCCTCCTAGTTTCTCCGGGGTGGGACTCAGACTGGGAGAGGTCCCTGATGCCGCCGTAGCACCTCTGATCGGCAGAGTACAAAAGGGAACCACAGCAAGCTGTGTGTCCTTAGGCAAACAACAAAGGAATAAAGCCCATTAGCAGAATAAATATTTCAAGCACCAGAGCCAAGCACCGAATGGTTTTCTAGCTCTGAGCACAAGGGCTGGTCAGAATGTCAAATTCATGCTGTTGTAAGGCTGAGCGTGCCACCTGCTGCCGTGGGGACCATGAGGCCGGGTGAGAGCTGGGAGCCCTGAGTTGGAGGCCACTCCTGCTGGAGCCCTGACAGCTGCACCCGGATGTTGGGGCCCTGAGCTGAGGAAGATGCCTGAGGGAACCAGCGCTCCGGATTTTACCAGGAACATGAACCTGTGCTGGCTGCTCTCCCAGTCCCCTGCTGAGAGGGGAGTTAGAGGAGCAGAAAGCAGCTCGAAAACAGACAGGACTCAGCCTCTCTGTGGCCTCAGGGAAACAGGGACCGTGAGCAGCAGAGAGCAGGCCTGAGGCTGCGGGAAAACCCAGCCAGGGGGTCTGCCTACAGTTCACTCCCAGTCATGCCCCATTAGCCAAGCGAATCCCCTCGCTGGCCCATTCAACACTGGATGTTGAGGTAGGGCTGCTGGATGGGCCAGCCAAGCCCAGGACTCAGTAAGAAAATGTCAGCCAAAAGCTGTTGGAAAGAGGGAGGGAGCAAGTGGACATTTAAATGCCTAGACACCCGAGTGCTTCCTATTCCAGGGCAGCACGATGGATATCAAGGGCTGGAAGGATGCTCAGAAATCTCCCTGCCCAACCTCCTTTGTGCACTGCTGAGGAAACTGAGGCCCAGAGAAGGGGGCAGTATCTGGTGTCCCGGGTCCCTAAGCCAGGCCGACAGGGCTCCAGAGGTTTGGCGGGGTTCTCCAACTCTGAGTTGGAATGAACCCTGGAGAGATGGGGAGAAGGTGGGGACAACAGATGACGGCCAGACAGACAGGTGGAAGCAAGGAGGCCTAGGGGGCAGCTATGAGAAGGGGGCACTGGGGCCAAGGTCACAAGTGTCAGCAGCCGGGGGCCCAGAGACAAGCAAAAGTGCCTCCGGGAAGTTCTTTAATAATGGGCCCAGGAAATGGGTATATGTTTTGTTACAAAAGCAAAAATTAATTTTTTACTTAAAAATTAAAAGTGGTCCCTTTCTCAGCCACTTGAAAACAGAGGAAGATAGAAAGAATAGACTACAATGATCAGTTAAAGCATCTCCCTCGTGCTCTTGAAATGCCATGCAGGCCCCTGCTTTGGACCCTGGCTTGGTGGGCTTTGTTCCTCAGGGACAGGGTGCCTCTGAGCACCTCCTCTCCCTCCTCAGAGTCTCCGTTTCCTCGTGGGCAAACAGCAGTGAGAACATGAAAACGAAATGCAGTAAGTGAAGGCACTCAGCAGGATGCTGGGTAAACTGCAGGCGCTCAATAAATGTGACAAATGCCCCTCCCCATGCCCCCTGACCCAGTGAGCCCTACCTGGCGCTCTCGGGCCTGTGCTCGGGCTCCGTGGGCACTGGGGGCCGGCCTATGTCCAGGTGCTGCTCTAGCACCTGCTGCCGGAACTCCGACACCTGCGACTGCCGGTCCTCCTTCTCCTGCCGCAGCCGCCGCTGCCGCGCCACCCACTTCTCCTCCTCATTGGTGCGCTGGATGAGCAGGGCCGTGGCGGCGCTGCTGCCCGGCAGAGAGAAGATGCCGTGGTTGGAGAGAAGGCTGGGCATGGTGTGATGGGGGGCGGGTGCCGGGTGCAAGGGGTGCTGCACAGGCTTGGGCGCCTGCAGGCCTGCGTCCTTCAGCTTCTCTGTGGGAAGAGAGAGGCCGTCACATCACAGCAGGATCCCCGCACGCCAGGCCCAGGTGGCTCCTGCCTCTTTCTCTCTTGAACCTGACTGCCCAGGACCAAGACAACCAGAAAGGGCCTTGTGGATGCTTTGGGGAAGCATGCCTTGTCCCAAGGGAAACATGGCCCCTGGCAGGTGCTGCTCCCACCCAGCCCAGGGCCAACCAACCTGAAATGGGGTGCTGGCAGGCACACGCTGGCTCACCAGAGCAGACTGTCAGTTTTATAAATCATGCAAGCCGGTTGTTAAATAAACCCTTACTGAAAGTTAGATACATCCTATCTAATAAAGAGGGAATATGCTAATTGGCCTTCATGCCGTCGCAAAGATGGTGGTGCCCACAGCCAATAAGGAGGGAATATGCTAATTGACTGCCCCACCTTCAAAGATGGCCGGCAGCGGAAGGCAGTTGGGGGCGACCGGGCTGGGAGGGGAGGGCAGTTGGTGGTGATCAGGCCGGCAGGGGAGCAGTTAGGCGTTGATCAGGCCGGCAGGGGAGTGGTTAGGGGGTGATCAGGCTGGCAGGCAGAAGCACTTAGGGGCAATCAGGCAGGCAGACAGGCCAGCAGTTGGGAGCCAGCAGTCCTGGATTGTGAGAGGGGTCCCAGATTGGAGAGGGTGCAGGCTGGGCTGAGGGACAAGCCCCCCCCCCCCAGTGCATGAATTTTGTGCACTGGGCCTCTAGTATGCTTATAATGAAATAAAACATTAAAGCAGCCATGGTGGGAGTCTACACCATGGAGTTGGCAGAAGCTACAGAGTCAGGCCTGCCCCTTGGAGAGCTGTCAGAACCTGCCAGCACACCCTTGCAGCCAGCCCACCTCCGGGGGCCTAGGTCTGTCCCTCGGGCTCACCACCCTGTGTACCTGCTCGGGTTGGGGTCAGCTGCTCCGCGGACTTGACCCGCTCCTCTGAGGTGTGGCCACGCAGCCCGTGCAGCTCAGCCACAGGCAGGAAGGCTGGCTCCAGTGTCTTGGTGGCCAGCAGCTCCTTCTCTCGGGCCCGCTGCTCGCGCTGGCGCTCTAGCTCCCTCTCCCGCTCCTTCTCGCGCTCGCGTTCCAGCTCCTTCTCCCGCTCGCGCTCCTTCTCCCTTTCCCGCTCACGCTCCTTCTCCCGCTCACGGTCAGCTTCCCGTTCCCTTTCACGTTCACGTTCACGTTCACGCTCACGCTCACGCCGCAGCTCCTCATCCATCTGCAGCCTGTGGGAGCGGAAAGGAAGTCTGAGCTCCACTGTGAAGGGGAACCAGGACAGCCCACTAACAAGAATTCCCAGATGTGAGGAACTGACAGCCACACCCGAGGTTTCCATGGAAAACCCAGCCTTCTAACCTGCAGAGCGTGGGGCGTTAGGAACCCAGTCTGTAAGACATGAGTTGTGTACTAACGCCCGAGGCCTCGCTGAGAGCTCCTGCCAGAAGGCGGTGATCCCAACAGTCACCAGAAGCATTAGCGGCCACTGTCCCGTTTACAGGCGAGGCGACTAAGGACAGGAGTGGCTGAGGAGCCACCTAGCCACAAAGCGGCCAAGCCAGGCCCCCGTCTCGGGCTTAGCTCCACTCTGCCATGGGGGCCGGGGCAGCTGGCCTGGGACGTGACTTACCGCTCGGCGCTGAGGCTGGACATCCGCTCCGAGTGCAGTGCCGCCAGGGACGAGTGGGACAGCTCCGGCGGGTAGCGGACCCCGGAGAGGTGAAGGTGCATGGCCGAGGGGTGCAGCGGAGGCAGGGAGCCGGGGGTGGGAATGGGGTAGAAGGGGGACCGCAGGGCGGATAGGCAGTAGGAGTCGTCCATCCTGTGCCAAGAAGACAGGCCAGTGAACACCAAAGTTAAAGGGCTAAAGGCTGACCCCACAGCCTCCACAAAGGCCCAGCTAAGGCACATCCATGGCCAGCCCCGAAGCCCCTCGCTGACAGAAGCCCCTGGATGCCGACAGCCCGGGGTGCCAAGGCCCTGCCTGCCACCCAGAGGCTCAGCCAGGCCAGCACCTTCCCGGGTCTGACCAGCAGGCCCAGGTGGGCGGCAGTCTGCACGTCACTAAAGCCCCGTTGGGCTGGGCAGCTTCTACAGAGAGTGACCCCACATTCCACTGCGTGGTACACAGCAGAGGAGCCCCACTCTTCGCCATGGAACCTGGTGCTGCTTATCAGCAGTCCTGCCTGGGGAGCCACTGAAAAAGGCAGGAAGTGGGGAATTTCCACCAGGGCAAACCCCGATGGCCAATGTGGACGGGTGGGGGGCTGCCCCAGGCTCTCATTGGGAGTCAGGCCCCCAGGACATGAGAAACACATTCCTGGCCAGGTTCCATTTTGCCATGAGCAGACCAGCCTGAACCCGACTCAGTAGGGACCGTGGAGGGCGGTCTCGGACAGCTCACCTGAAGGCCGGGTGGGGGAAGGGGTGCGGAGTCAGGTAGCTGGGGTGGTAGTAGGCGGCAGCAGTGGCCGGGTCCAGGCCGAGGGGAGGTAGGGAGGACATGCGGAGGTCCTCGGCGGTGTGGTAGGGCCGGAAGCTCCTCAGGTAGTCCTCGGTCACCGTGCTGGGCGGCACCACGTGGTGCACAGGCCGCTGGAGGCTGCAGCAGGGACAGAGAAAGGAGATGAGCGGAGGGCCCGCTCCAGGCTGGGAAAGGGGTCAGCCTCCCCTGCCACCATCTCCCTCGGAAGGACCAGTCTCCGAGGACGAGTCTCCGGGGATGGGTTCCAGCTCTTGCTAACGAGATGCTGGTGCTGGCAGGAGGCCCAGGGCACAGAGGTGGGCAGCCTGGCTCCTAGCCTGCCTGGCCCCTCGCTGTCCGCACCAGCAGGCACATGTCTGCTATCTGCAGCCCAGAGGCACCCCTGTCCCAGGAACCAGGACAGGGTGTAGGTAGAATGGGAGAGCCAACCATCATCTCAGCACAGACCGGCTGCGGGCCCAGGGCTCAGCCACCATCTGGCGGTCCGCAGCCTCAGCTGGTGCAGGCTCCCAGCTCCCGGCTCCCGGCTCCGCCCCAGGGACCCAGACCCTGAGCACTTGCAGCCACCCCAAACCCCCAAGCTGCACTTACTTGAGTGGTGGGAACCGGGAGTCCTGCACCACTGAGCTGGGGGAGATGCCAAAGGGATAGGGGGTGCTGAGCAGGTGGGAGGGAATGGCCGGGCCCCCCGCCTTCTCCTGGGGCAGTGGGGGCTCCACGATGAGGCGTTCTCGGCCGCTGCTGCTGCCCCGAGAGCTGGTGTCCTGGGGGAAAGAGCAGTGGGTCAGGGTGGGGGTGGGGTGGGTGAGGGAGGGCCTCCGACAAGGACCAGCCGGTCGTCCTGCAGACTCACAGAACAGCCCCAGGTGTAGTGCACCTTCTAGAAAAGTCCTTTCCTTAAGGTTTTCTACCCAAATCTGTGGTACACATGGCATTGGAGGCAGAAGGGTGAGAAGGGAAGACACGGGTCCCAACGAGGGACAGGTCTGCACTGAAACCCCCCTGGGGGGCCGTTCCCTCCTGGGTGCAATGGGGAAGGGCAGAGCCTCCCTCCAGGATTGCTGGGGGCACCACGACGAGCACCCAGTGTCCATGAGGGGTCAGGGCGCAGAGCAGGGGCTCCCCACCCCGCACAAACACCCACACACTTCCAGCATGGAGGTCCCACAGGCCACATTTGCTCTGAGCCCAAACTTGAGGAGTGAGATGCGGCTGGTCCCAGCACCCACTCTCCCAGGAAGCGAGCTCTGCAAGCAGCAGGCGGAACAGAAGCAGGGGGCCCTGCCCGCTGATCTCAGATGCTCACAGGCATCCCCAGGGGCCAAGGCCTCGAGGTGCTGACGGCTGCGGGCCTGCCTCACAGACACCGTGACCCGAGGTGCCCACAGAGTGACTCAGCCTCAGGAAGACGGCGCTGACCTGGAGATCAACACCCCGAGCTGCTCCCCGCCAACCCCTGCGGTGGCCCTGGCACCAACCAGAACAGGAAGCTGCAGGGCCTCGACTGGCCAGACCTGCCTGGGGACCCCTTCGCACACACCGAGGGGGGAGATGGCAATGGGCTGCGGCCCCACCTGCCCCAGACTCCTGGACAGAGAGAAGGTGGAACCCAGGGACCGAGAGAAAGGGCTGGCCCAAGGCAGGAAGGGGGAGCAAGAGGCTTCTGCCAGGGCCAAGGGCCAGTGTGCCCCCCAGCCAGAGAGGGGCGGTCTGCGCACTTATCCAGGTGTCCAGCCCCAGGAACCACACCATCGAAGGTTCTGACTGTCTTGTGGTTTCTGTGGCTGAAAGGCAGCCGTGCAGCCAGGCTCAGAGAGCGCTGGGAGCAGCCAGAGGCCCTCACTCGGGATCCGGGAGCAGCGCCACCGGGAGGGCTCCGTCACTGAGCCCGCGCTTGGCTCCACTCCGCCTGCCCTGAGCTGCAGCCAGACTCCCGAGCCCGTTTCCTACCAGGCCTTCCTCCTCGTGGCCAGATCTGCACGATGTCAGGTCCAACCACTACTGACCAGACAGCAACGGGGCTCGGAGAAAGCAGGTGGCGCTCCCAGAGCACGAGCCCAAGTTCACCGACTCCAAACCCACAGTGTTCCCACCTTGCCACAAAATGCCACACACCCCGAAAACGAGGGAGGCCACGACCCTCGGACTGTCTTGCTGAACTGGCAGGCTGAGGAGCACATCCGGGAATGACCACTGGACATGTGGTGGCACGCCTGGACCCGAGGCCTGACCCCCCAGGAGACCCCGACCCTTGATCCTCCATCTGCTGCTCTCCCCGCTCTGCTGTCATCAGATCAGGAGGTGGAGGTGTCAGAGCCCCCAGTTTATCTAACGACCCCTGGGCGGGCGGTGAGGGACGGATAACCGCGGCTGCCCACCATCTTGGCACTGGCCAACGGGACACCGCGGGGCAGGCCACTGACGGGGTGGCCGAGGCTCAGGAGAAGGGCCCACGCGTCCAGCAGGCCTATTCCCTGAACAGGCCGGGCCAGGCAGCCGCGTGCACTCAGCCTCCGGAAGGCACACCAGCGGTAATTAATTGAAGGAGACAGGCTGCTGATTGGAATTCCTAATGAGCAGCAACATCTGTTCCCATCCCTTGTGCGGCAGCGCCCTCGCCCTCCCCTCACCGCGAGGTCCTCCCGGGTTCACGAACTCAGACTTGCCCTTCCCAGAAGGGTGTTCACGTGGTGGGTGTCAAGGATAGGACACACACGCACCGATGCCCTGGGCCAGTCGGAGCCCACAACTCCTGCCTCCCGGTTTTCCAGGGACTTCCATGCAGGGGCTGGCACCTGGTCTCGGGGTCCTCCAGTTGCCTTCGTGGACAGTAGGGGGGCTCCTGGGTCACCTTAGGAGATGGCTTCTGTCTGGTCCTGGACGACCCCTTATATAACTGCCCTGTGCCTCAGTTTCCCCATCTGTCAAATGTGCCAATTGCAGTGCCAGCTCATAGAGCAGCAATGATGGTGCCCAGGTATAGACAGGAAATGGGTGAAGCATGGGGCAATGGGGGTTAGGGGGCGGCTCACACAGCACTGCACCACCAAGCCTACAGGCACCCCCACTCCCAGCACTTCTGTCCACACTGAGGCTGAGGGATCATCTCCAGGTTGGGCTTGCTGGTTCCCCCTCACACCCTCACCCTGCCGGGCACAGGGCCAGGCCAGCCGAAGTGCAAGGTCTGTCACGTGGAGGTACCACGTCCCTGCACCAACCAGCTCCAGGGGCCCACCCCTCACGGGGGCCACCACGGAATAAAGCCTCCTTCTCCCCTCAGGGGACAAAGCCCTGCTGAAAGGCAGCTGGGCCAGATGGCACCTTGCCCTGGCTTGGCCGAGACAAACAAGGAGTCGGGAGGCCAGGGGTGGAGGGGAAGGTGGCAGAGGGTGGGTTCAGCAGGCCAGACCCACGTGCCTTCTGTCTGGCTGGTACCCTGCTGAGCTTGTGACAGGCAGCTGGGAATGAGGTCACCTGGCTTGGAGGGCGCACAAGGGCTGCCCAGGGTGGGATGGGCCCAGACAGCAGTCCCCAACCCGGGCCAAGCCTAGGAGGCTCAGCTGCCACCCCAAGGCACCCCAAGAGTGCCGGCTGGGCTCCCCCTGCTGTCCCCGGCAGCCAGGCACACACCGAGGAGCATCTGTGGGCAGCTTTTATTTCTGCACCACGGCTGCATGGCTGCAGGCGCAGCTGTAGCGATGAAAGAAAAGACGAATGAGGGGGAGGCAGGGAGGGAGGCAAATCCTTCATTCTCTGGTGATTAGAGAGGTTTCCAGTCAGACAGACAGGACATGCCCTGTTAGCTTTAAAATAGACGATTTTTCATTTCATCTGTCCCTTCCAAGCTCCGACAACCTGGGGAATCTGAGTGACCCCAGCGAAGGGGCCCAGAGCCCCCGGCCCCCCACCACGCAGGAGGCCCCCCGTGACTCCTGGCTACACTTTAGGAAGCTGCTCCTCTCTCCGGCCCTCAGCCTCTCCCTGAGCCCCCTCCCCAGAAGGACTGCATTCTCCCCGAGCCTTTGTGCTGAGCTGATGAGCCATACATCAGCCGCTAATCCAGCTCCCTTCCTCCCGCCTCCCTGCGGCATTAGTGTTTCATTACCCGCCAATGGCTGGAGCAGATCTATGGCCCGGCCCTCTCTCTGGGGTTAGCACATGTTTCTGGGCACGGAGCCGGGGAGGGGCCTGCAGCGGAAGGGACTGTTTACAAGGCGCCCTGGGTCCCGGTGGGAGGGAAGATGCCCCTCTTGGGTGGGAGCAAAGGGGACACTTGGGGCTGTGGCAGCCGTCACCAGCCAGGGACACAACAGGACGCAGCAACCACCTGCACCCGAGTGAGTTAGGGGAGAGGCGAGGAGCCGCAGCTGTCTGAGCCAGGTGGCTGGGCCGGGGGTCAAGGCTGACCGGCAGGTGGCCGCCAGGGAGACTCTGGGAAAGACCCCCTGTCCTCCCTCAAACCAGGACTAGGGGGCAGCGGTGGCTGCTCCGAACCCCTCTGGCCAGAATCTGCCTACCATCCCCACCCTGACCCTCAGTCTCCAAGCTGCGCACAGGGTGGCACGAACGAACCACGTCAAGGCAGCAGCTTCTAGGCAGTCACAGCACAGGGGGCCTCGTGGGGGCAAGGCAGGGCCACACCCGGGGGTCCCAGGCCACAGCTGTGTCCATGGGTGCCTTGGGGACCCTCCCCGTAGGTCAGGGCCTGCCTGGCGGGTGCCACCCCCACCCTCCGGGGCAGAAACAAGATGGAGACTGATGACGCTGATGCCCACCCCTCCCCGCAGAGCAGCGCTGGGATGGGGCGAGGTGGGGTCCCCCCTCCCCTCTGCTTTCTTTGTGGTTTAATTAGTATTTCCAAGTGGTGCCATCCCTCAGGGAGCTTGGCAGGAGAATCCAGGAGCAGCACAGTGACCGTGTTCTTAATTAGGAAGGGCTCCTGGGGCTGGGAGCACCAGGTGCGGGGGGAGAGCAGGTGGGAGGGGTCAGCCCTGGGCCACCAGCTCCGTCTGCACTGGCAGGTCACCTGGCAGCGGCCACACACAGGGACCCCAAGTGTTGGGAAGGGCCCCCTTGATGGGTGCCAACAGTTAGGACAGAAACATAAAAAATGTGACGTGAAAATGTGGGCTGGCTTTTCCATTCAATTCCTTGTTTGAGCAATAGGTAATAATAACAACTATTGTTTAGCAAGTGCCGGTGATATGCAAACACAATTTTAAGCACTTTACATGGGGTTACGGGTGGAATTATATTATGTCCCCCCACATTCATGTGGGAGCCCCAGCCCCCAGGACCTCAGAATGTGCCCGGATTTGGAGATGGGGCCTTTAAAGACGCGGGGAAGTTAAGTGAGGTCATCAGGGTGGGCCCTGACCCAACATGACTGGTGTCCTTATAAGAAAGGATTAGGGCACAGCCCTGCACAGAGGGAAGACCGGGCGAAGGCACAGGGAGAAGACGCTCTCGACAGGCCAGGGAGCAGCCCCCGGAGAAGCCAGCCCCCCGACAACCTGATCGCAGACTCCCAGCTCCAGAACCGCGAGGACACCTGGAAGCGCCCGTCTGTGGTGCTGGGTGGTGGCAGCTGGAGGACAATCACACCCACGAATGGACTTACTTTGCACGGACCCCCCTGGTAGGTTCTGTGTCACCTCATTTTGCGAGAAGACAGAGGCCCAGGAGAGCAGGGGTTTGGGAGTGAGGGATTCGAACCCCGCAATCCAGTCCTCCCCTGTGGAAGGCCACCTTCCCACACCTGGGGCCTGTGGTCACACCCACCACGCACCCCGGGCACTCACCTGCCGGCTCTCGCTCCTCCAGACGCCATTGACGGTCTTGGTAGGGGCGATGGTCACCACGGGGGGCGTGCTAGGGACGCTGTGGCCCCCGGGGGGGACGATGATGGGGCCCATGGGCACGCGCTTGGGCGTGCTGGCAGGGGAGCTGTGATTGGTGGCTGGAGAGGACACAGGGGACGACTCACTGCTCAGTGAAGACCCTGCAAGAGAAGGACACAGAGCCTCAGCGTGGAGTCAGCCGGGTCAGCGCCCGGCTCATGCTTCCAGCCCCATCTCAGACCCAGACCTCATCTGAGAGCCGTGAACAGCAGCACCCGGACCCCCAGACTTTATCACATCACAGCCAAGATTCAACTAGTGCCGGGCATCAGGCAGGCGAGGGCACACCTGTCCCACCACTGGCACTGTGCACGCAGCCGCCCAGCAGCATGGTCACAGGGTTGCATGAGCTTGGGCGGCTGTGTGCTCTGCGGCCAGGGGTGTAGAGCTGGCACCTGAAGGCTTCTCGTATGGATTCTGGGTATCAGCCTTGGTCTGGGTAGATCTGGCATAAAGGCTGCTGCTGACAGTCCTGAGTAGCAGCCTGGGGATGCCCAACTCACATCCGGACTCAAGGGGCAAACGCTGACCCCCTCTAAGGATGTACACCTGGGCACCTCTGTCTCTAAGGGCCCCACCTGGGGCACCTGCAGCCCCGAGGCGGCGGCGGAAGCAGGTGTCAGCACCGACCTCCCCTTCTGGAAGGAGAAATCCCATCAGCTTCCAGGCATCCTCCCCGAATTTGTTCAGAGCTTGTGTCGGTCCCAGGGACACTGGTCTCCACACTATCTCCAGTGGCCGCTCTCATGTTACCAAATAAAACCTTAGCTCAGAGGGCGGCCTACGGCTCACGGGCTCGCAGACAATCGCAGCTGCCAAGGCATCACTGAGATGAAGGAATTACCGTGGTTCACTCCCTCCCGACCCAGAGGCCCCGACCAGCCAAGTGCGGCCTCAGTGACGTGACCAGGAGGCAGAGTGGCCTCAGAGAGGAGGCCCCACGGATAGACAGAGCTCGGCCCTGGGCAAGGTGCTCCCACCCGGGCCTCTTCCGTGTGGCTCCTCCCTAGCATTGTGCGCAGCCTGCACAACTGTACGGGCAGCCCTATAGGGAGACACCCGGTCCAGCCAGACCTGCCCCCACCCAGCCCACAGGCTGTGCCCCAAGAGCTGCCCAGCTCAGCGACCCTGGAACAATGCCAGGCCAGGATGCCCCTCACTCCCAGCTCCCACCCGTCAGTGCCCGGCCGGATGGGCAGTGAGGAGTCATGTGGGGGATGCTGTCCCCATTCTCCAGATGGACCAGGCAACCACGGCCCACACCCTAAAATTTGGCAACCCCCAGTTGCCTGTGCCAAGCCCCGGAACCAAGCACTGGGTTTAGATCCCAGCTCTGCCCCCACCAGCGGGGGCAAGCTCCCAGCCTCCTGGTCCGATGCCCTACCGCCAGGGGACAGCCCACAGGGCAGGACGGGAGCGGCCTTGCTTCCCGCGGGGAGGCCTCCGAGGTTCTGAAACAAGCTGGGGCTGACCCAGCGGCTCCCGGGGGCCGGTGGGCCGCCGTCCACTCTGACAGCCGATGGAGGAAATCCTGGTGGTAAGTTGGGAGGGTATGGCACCCAGACCCTCACCAGGTTTGTGCAACTTTGGGAAACAGCCTGCGTCTCCTCAGGCTCTGTTATCTGCCCAGGGCCTGGCCTGGCATCCTGCTCCTGGGTCTGTACCTGGCATAACAGGGCTGGCGTCCACCAAAGTGGTGTCAGGATAGAGCAGGCACAGAGGGCAGGAAGCAGCCAGAGCCTCAGGCACAGAGGGAGTCACAGCAACACCACCGAGTGAAGATGAAAAATGAGAAACGCAGCTACAGGGTCTGAATGCAATTGTACCTGCTGTCCACTCCCCCCCCCACACCCCCGAGAGGGGCGGGGCCTCACTGTTTCCGGCCTGTGGTTCACTCTGCAAATTCGTCTCACTGGACGCTTATGGTCTGTGCACGCTTTTATAGGTATTTATCCTATATAATAAAAGCCTAATATGCAAATCGACCAAACGGCAGAAAGACCAGTGGAACGACCGGTTGCTATGACGTGCACTGACCACCAGGGGGCAGACTCTCAACGCAGGAGCTGCCCCCAGCCTGCAGGCCCCAGGCCAGCCAAGGCGGGTGCCAGCGGGGGGGTTCCCCGATCGATCGCCCCACAGATCGACCCTGATCGCCGACCAGGCCTAGGGACCCTACCCGTGCATGAATTTCGTGCTCTGGGCCTCTAGTATTTGGATAAAAAGCCCATTTAAATTTTTGGAAAAATACAAAATACTAGGCAGGGATCTTGCTCTTTAAAAAAGGAATTTCCATGGAATCTCTACCAATCTCCTTTTCCTGGTTTGTGGCATCTTTATTGAGATATGACTCCCACACCAAAGAACTCCCCCATATCAAGTTTGTGGATTCAGTGGTTTTTAGTATATTCACAACTGTGCAACCATTACCACAATCAATTCTAGAATGTTCTCTTTACCCCCAAAAGAAACTCCCTATCCATTAGCACTCTCGCCTCCCCCCAGCCCCTGGCAACTACCGATCTGCCCTCTGTCCCCATGGATTTACCTATGCTGGACATTTCATGTAAATGGGACCATACGACATGCAGCCTTTTGTGTCGGCTTCTCTCACTCAGCATGATGTTTTTATGGTTCACCCAGCTGCACCCTGTGTCCGGCCTGCATCCTTTTCATGGCTGAATAATACTCCACTGTATGAAGGGACCCCATTTTCTTGATCCATCATCATCAACGGATGGTTGGGAGTATCACCTTGTGAGTGGTGTTGATGTGACCACTGCGCATAAAGCCTCAGATACTTGGCTGCCCGAAGGACCTACTGTGCGCCCAGCTTGCACTCTGGGCGACCCTGTCTAAACTCTGCCTGTGAGTGGAGGGAGGGTGGATATTCATGCTCTGGAGCCAAAAATGTAAAGAAATAAAACAAACATACCAAGAGCCCCCACCCATCAAGGCAGAGGCTGCAGCTGCCCGGAGGCCAAGTTGGGGTCAAAGGCCAGATAGACTGTTGTCCTGCAGGGCTTAGGGAAGATGAGACCAGACACCTTGAGCCCCGTCCTGCACCAGCTTCTGGGCCTCAGGGAGGGAGGCGCCTACATTCCCCCTGGGGAGCAGGAGCACCGGACAGCCCAGGGGATTGTGGAGCTGCCTGGGGAGACTCAGGGCCACCTGGCCTCTGCCCGCTCTCTTCCCTGCACACCACCCTACATCATTAGTCTCCGGATTAGCCTCCTTTCTAAGAATGAGGGGGCTGGGGGTGGGGGGCGCCTGGGAGGCCATCCACAATTAGTGCCTAATCCCTTGGGGCCAGGCTGTCAGTAGCCAGCGGAGCACGCCATCGATCCCTGACCACGCACCCGCCAATTAGCGAGCGGCCACCCGACCCTGTTCTCAAGGCAGCGGCGGTGGCGGAAGGGCCGTGATCGCTGTAATTAACTGGAGGCATGCGGCGGGAGGCAGTGGACGCGTGCGGATTGGAGATGACAAGAGGCAGAGCACTCAGTGTCACCTCTGCTGCCTGACTTCGAGGATTAGCGCCTCGGGCCGCCTGGGCACATGTAATTAACAGCTGAGACCCCAAAGATGCCACAAGGGGAGGGGAGGGAGGCCTGGAAATAAAGCTGCAACACTGCAGCAGCCCTGTCAGCTCTCCTAGACGTGCACATAACCAGCCACGCAAACAACTATTGAGCACCAACTGCATGCCCTTAACAAGGATCTCTGTGTCACTAAGGACCGCCCTGGCGTGGGACACTGTAGGGTGCAGAGGGCAAGGACTGGTCGCAGTCACACCAAATAGCCCTTGTCCACCCCAGGCCTGACCCTGCACTGAGTCAGGCTGCCTAGCTTGGGGGCGTGTCAGAGAGCAGAGAAGACAACGGTGACCACCTGATATTTCTCTAAAAAAGGACCATGGGGACATCTTCCTGAGAGGCACGTGGGGCTGTGGGGGCAGCACTGCACAGACAGCTCGGAAGCCAGCAGGAGGCAGCTGCTACCGATTTGCAAGTGAGCAGCAGAGCAGCACGGGTCCCTTCCGGCTGAGCTTCCCAAGTGCAGGCCTGACCTGAGACCCAGAGCCGGGGGGGAGGGAGCCCAGGGATCCTCTGTGCTCTGCTTGCCCGGCCCTCCGCTCTCCCGTTTCTGCGTCTGTTCTGGTCTCTGGGCCGACCTTATGCAGTGAGAACTTTGTCAGGCCGTCACGACCCTGGGGACACCATGACTCTGGCTGCCACCAGTGGATGCAGGGCTGAGTGAGCCCTCGGCCTGGTGTGGGCAGCGGACCCACTGGGAGACAGCCTCCCACAAGCCCCTCTCTCTCCAGGCTGCTCCTTCGCCGTCCCCAGCCCCACCCAGGATGTAGGAACCCTGGCCTGGTGGCCTCATGCCATTTGGACCCGGAAAGGGGTCTGGCCATCGATCAGCCGGACCCCTTCATGTGTGAGGTCCAAAGGGGCGGTGGGTCCCGAAGGCAGCCTCCTGGCCAGCAGGCAGTGGAGTGGGACAGAAACCGGACCGGACTGTCCCAGTTTGGGTTCTGCCTCCTTTCCCTGAAAGGTCCCCAAGGAAACGGGAACAGTGGACCCTGAATGGAAGTCCAACCTGTGCCGGTGGGAACGGGAGCGTGGGGTCAGGGAGATGAAGTCCCCGTCAAAAGCACAGGGTAGTGGGAATGGGGTGGGAACCCTCTGGACTCACAGCAGTCCTGGCCCAGAGGGGACAGCCGGGCACAGGACACTCCCACCTGCCACCTGGAGCTTCTCCACTGGCTGGGAGGGGAGGGGACAGGCGGAGGCCCCACTCTACTCCATGGCCACCAGACGTTCCTGCACCTGACTTACTGTCATGTGACTGTCACTAAACCCAAATCAGCAAGGGTGAGATGCAGATCTTTACCACCAAATGCATTTCCAGGGGCCAATGACTTGCTGGTGAGCAGGACTGGAAGGCCAGCAGGCTCCTGAATTGAGGGGCAATGCTGCTGTGTTAGGGTGCAGAAGCCGAGAGGGGTTACACCAGGGAGGCAAGGGAAGGGGGTGAGGAGGCCGAGGGGGCTTAGGGTGACAGGGAAAGTCGCTGTTGCATCATCACGGCCAGG